TCCTTCCAAGCTTGTTTTAATCAGGGAACTCCACCAAACACTGTCCACCATGGGTAACCATTATCGATTTTGACACATCAGTGTCACAGTGTTCAGCTTCACAAGAACCACAAATTACCTCTGTATGGCAAGTGGACACACCAGGGCTATACGACCTAGAAGAATGTTTGCCCAAAAACAATTAAAAACAGGCCTGTGGGCCGCGGATTAAAAGTCACCCACCTTTGGCTTGGTTACAGTACTTTCTGTCCACTAGGCCAACTAATCTCTGAGTATGAGCAACAGAAAATTTTGGTGAAGAAATAACAATGTAGTGTAATTGAAACTGATCTGTAACTAGTAGAGGAGGTAAGACACTAAGACCAGATTTGGGATAGTTCAGGAATGGTATTTGAACTCAGACTAAGGAAATGTGGGCTTATTTGGCAGGAAAATAGGAGATGATGAATGTTATGGAATGGGGAGTAAAACAATCAGAGGTGAGCCTCAGGATGAACAATGTCACTTTTTCATTCACAGAAGCCCAGTGAATCACTGTTTCTGTCCTTACTACCAACCCTAGTCCTTAATGGTTCTGCCACTACAGACTGCCCTTCTTGAAACCATTCTGTGTGTGATTAATGACTTAGTGCCCTAGCTTAACAATACTTATCTCCTTTTAGTCTTAACCAGCTTAGTTCCAGAGTCAGAAGTTTAGGATTACTTTCACAAAAATCCTCAAACCAGAGTCAGGAAATAGCTACACAATCACTATTGCCATTCTCCAACTCTTGATTCCATTGAGTACGAAGGACTGAGGGATCCTCAACTTTTGCTGGTCATCCTACTACAGCATTTTGTCCAAACCTGGGCACTCAGCCTTCTCTGCATCGTGACATCATCTTATTTGGAAAGACTGAAAGAGGATTCATTTCCAATTGTTCCATTAGAGCAAATTTTAAAAACACAGATACAAAATTCAGCTTACTGAACAATGAGCACATCTCTCCTTTGTTCTAATTCCTTTATAGTTTCCAAATGCCACATCCTCTGATTTTCCATAATCAATGAATCCTCCTTTCTCTAAAGTATCTTACAGAACTGTCATGAGGATTAAATGAAGTCAGGAATAGAAAAACAACAATAGTGAACATTTTACAAACACCATAAATGAAATATTTTTGCTAAGTGCTTGGCACACATCATCTAATTATTTAACTCTGAGATAGATGTTATCAGTATCTCCTTTTTATATGCAGATAAAGAAAGGCAAAAGGTTAAGTTATATACAAAGCTCTGGTGGGTTAGTGTAAGGGGCTGTGCTGCTAACCCAAAGGCACACTGTTCAAATTCACCATCTGCTCATTGAGAAAAAGGATGCAATTTATTGCCTCTGAAAACCCGCTGGAGGGTCAACAATAAGTCAGTTCTAACTCAACTGTATGTAAATGCCAAAGGTTAAGATTTAAATACATGCATGTCTAACTCAATGAACCACAATTCTTCTTTACAGATGCTGCTCTGGTACATAATAGGCACTGACTTACTGGCAAAGAGCTTTACTCTTAATCCAAATGCACACGGTTCCAATCTATCAGCCACTCGGCAGGAGAAAGATGGGCAATCTCCTCCCATGTGATTTACTGCCTCTGAAAAACTACTGGAGGGTCAGCTATGAGGCACTTCCAACTCTATGGTACATCACAACAAGGGAAGATGGTAATCTTATTAGCTGTGGTTTATTTTGTCCACAGTTTTCCATGCCTTGTCTCTCTTTATCAATCTTCACACCACTTTTCTGCAAAGTTCCTTTGTATACACGTAAATAGCTCTCAAATCTATGGTTGCTATTATTTTAACTCCCATTTCCAAATGAAGCTAGGTGAGAGCTCAGAGAAATCACATTCTAAGGTCAAAAGTAAGAGAGATCAAGTCATTTCTTTAAAGTGGGGCGAAACTGGTACTTGAATTTAGGTTTAAATCCTAAATCCAGCCTTTCCCCATCATGTTCAGGGTTTCTCGGCTAGTGTCCAATCTCTTCTGAATCTTGACATCTTCCCCATGAAAACAAATAGTTCGATTTTCTGCATTCCCTCTAGAGAAGTTTGAACTTCTACACAGCACTTGTTCAACTCTGCAGATTTATGTCCACAGTTCACAAGTGTGCCTCATCCAATAGCAAACGTCTCTTGAAAGCACGAACAGCTCCAGGGGTTTGGGATTCTTCATAGCCCCAACAACGGGCTTCGTACAACGAAAACTAAAGGAAATGCAATGAAAGCTATGCTATCCTCTCATCTAATGAAATGACAACTGTCATCTACACAGTCGCAATGCTTTACAGTTTTCCGCATCCAGTAGGATCTCAACATCCTTAAACTTCACTTCTACTTTTCTTGGATTTAAAGTGGGTGCCTTGTGCTATAAAGAAGAGGTGGGCGACTCCTCACCTGAGGGCTCAGCAGGGTCCTCAGGTGCTTCAACTGCATGATGAACAACTGTCTGGTACATGCCACCAGACAGCGACAACTCCCGAGGTTACCTGGACAACCGGCTACGCAGCCGCAGCCTAAGCTGCTGACGCAGACAGCCTCGGAGCACAGCACACGTCGCAAGGTTATTACGTACGACAACGCGCGCAAGCGCAGTGAGTGCTAAGGCGGGCCCTCGCGAAGCGTGAAAAACCCTCTCCTTGACCAATCCCGTCAAGACTTGTAGTCGTTAAACTCAAGCCACACCCACAACCTTTCAGGGAGCTGTGTTTGTAGTCTTTCAGGATTTTAGGCATTTTATGCGTGACTGAGGGCATGCTCTTTTGCTCTTCACAACCCAGAAGGAAAACAGGGCAACTATTATAGGGTGGTAATTTTTTTTTTTTTGCAGTTGACGTTTATATGACTTGCACAGGATTACAGACTAATTATAATTAACATTAAATATTCAAGTCTTCAGGTATTGTGCAGAGCGTTTTATATGCATTACCTCATGTTCTCTCAAAACCAGCACTTGAAGGAAATACTATAGTTAGTCTCATTTTACATAACACACTCAGAATCACTTTCTCAAGTTAAAAGATAGGACTAAGCTGGGATTCAGTCCAGAGTTGGATTTAAACAACCTTTTTTATATTCGAATTGACTGATAGCAGTGTTTTTGGTTTAGTTTATATTCCTTCTCAACTCCTAGCTCCCAATCTCCAGGCTTATATATCCTGTGATATCCCAAGAAGTTGTGATATGTCTAAAATCTTTTTAAGATGAGCGATCTGTTATAGAAAAAAAAAAAAAAGATGAGCGATCTGGAACCAGTGGCTAAGGAAAGGTAAAGTGTCCTACTTCCAAATTTAGAGACAAGGGATTACGACAGGCTTCTGAGGCCAGGGCACTTTTATCGCTCAGGGTGGAGGGTAGACCAAATGTTGGTCTTAATAGATTATCATTAAGTTTGGGGATGCACTGGGTTAGCACTTGATAAAGTAGAAAAGTTAGTAACTGGTTAATCTTAGTATTGTGTATCCAAGATCCCTTCCAGGGTCACTGGTTTTATTTCCCGTAACACTTCAGAGTGGTAGAGGAATAAAAGGATAATTATAAAACCTTTGTAACGATCCTAAATTTTGAAGACCCTTAACCCTCTTAACCCTCCAAGAAGTGTAGCAAACCTATCCAGACAGATTCTGAGTCCTGAAACCTTTCCCCCAGAGTATATGTGTCAATAGATATTTCTTTCACTGCCACAACCCCCCTTGGAAATTGGGAGAGAGTAGTGGACATCCTCAATTTTCATAGAAAACAAACATACCCCAGAGGGACATAGCTCAAATTACCAATCTTTTAACAGGTGAGTCCAAATCCCTCGGTTTTGTTTTGGGAAGCCTCCTGTGAACACAGTGGCAGAACCTGAATATAAACTCATTTATATTTCACAGTTATCATTAGTGCCTTTGACCAGCTGAACAGAGACAGACACAGGAGACAAAAGGGCAGGAAAGAAAAGGAAGCAATACAGAGAGGAGCACTTAGCTTCATGAGTTCCATTCATGCAGCTGCTCTTTCATTAGCACTTAAAATACTACCTAGTCCATTTCTGCCTGGGTTTGATGGAGGAGGCAGAAGGATATTTGGTGAGAAGTTGGACTGCCAATTGGGAAGTGAAGACAAAAAGCTATTAGTGGCCTTCCATTTAATTTTAGTTTTCACTGGTATAGGAAGAAGTTATAGCCGCCGCCTTCTCTCTCCCCCTTCACATCAAAAGGAACTAGGGCTCTAGTTTTCTACATCCATTCTTCCTTCCCCTCATCATTCATTATATGTAGAATTGAAGCAAACATCTTATAATGAGACCTTGCACCCATGAAGTTGGTGTGAGGGGCCTTCAAATAGAGAGGAGAGAGACGAGCTGCAGAAACATCTTCAGCATACTATACAGTATACCATACAGTCAGCTCCAGTTTGTCCAAGAAACTTTATTGGAAAAATGTTCAAGGGGTGACATCACCCGCGGCTGGAGTGGCTGCCAGGTGAAAGGCGGAGCACCTGAGGCTCCGTGGAAGACATTGGAGTAGTGCAGTGCAGCATTTGCCTCCAAGCCCAGACGGTTCCTTTCATTTACTGGCAGAGAGGGAGAACCTCCAGAACATCCCTCTCTTGAGACCCAGAGGCAAATGTGGGGGCAGCTGGGGATGCTGAGAGTCTTGGTGGAGGTGGAATGGGGCCCCTATTTGGAGATTAATGAGATAGGTTTGGACAAGTGACTCCCCCTGGACTGGGGATTGGAAGGAGATGTCCCACCTGATATCCACTCTCCAGCTCTAGGTGCGAAGACTAACCTACCTTCTAGCCCTGCTCACAGTAGAAAGAGGATGGGCACCACGCCTGAGACTGTGGGAATGACATTATCCTCTGAGAGACTGTGGAAACTTTCCATCTACAGCACATCATTATCATCAGGCTCTCCCTGACCCCATCCCCATCCCCTGCTGTTAGATCATCGCTCTTCTTCAGTTGTTTTTCTTCTGTCACTCATACGTCAATAGTGTTGATGGATGGTGACTTCTTCTGTGAAAGAAAATTATTTGATTCTCTAATTTCAGAAAAGTAATAGGGGCTATCTCTTCTCTCAGCCTCTCTGTCCCAAACTTTCTATTCGCCCTCTTTCACTCTCCCTCTTTGGCATTCTTCCTTTCCCAGGCTTCTCCGCAGGGGCAAACAATCACCCTTCCCACCCTCACTGGCCACACATCACCTGTCTCGTCCCCACTGGTCTTCCCTGAGGACTATGCTCTGGCCCCTTCCCCTTCTCTTTGGGGTTGTTGTTGGAGTCGTTGTCCTTGATGATGTCATACTGACGGCAGAACAGGCCAATTACAGCTGAAATAGCAACAATACAAATGTGAGCCTTTTCAGTCACAGCCCTGAAGGGCAGCAAGACACTCTCGTAGTTTCTAGACTATCCTTGAAGAAAATCTTTGAATTCTTAGTACCCATCCACAAGCAAGACCCTCTCAATCCTCCTCCCTGGGTTCTCAGCAGCACTTCACCCTTTCTTCATACATCTGATCGAATCTTTAATGAAGTATCTCTCCATTGTATTTCTCTCTCTTTTCTCTCAACAGCCTTGGACTAGCACTTTGTCTCCTGTTCACTGTTTACTCACCAGCCCACATGAGCAACACCACCACAATGATGACCACTTCCCCTGTCTGCAGTGGTCGCTCTCCGTCCAGACCTTCTACTGTGATATCACCTAAGAAAGAAGGTGACAGATTTCAAGTTATTAAGGAGCCTCTAGAGAGCTACATCTATGTAGGCAATTAAGAATGGAGATGTTGGGGATTACAGTCAGGGGAGACCCATCACAGTGTTGCCCCTGAAGTGATAGGGGAGCTCTTTTCAGGAAGAAAAGCCATTGATGGACAAGTGATTAGAGAGAGAAGTGATTAGAGAAGAGAGCTTCTGGTCAGACACTCATGCAGGCCACAGCTGCTGTGATCTGAGGCTGGGGAGAAGGATTCAGTAAAATCCTTCCCCCCAAGCGATTCATTACCAGATTGTCTATAACTGTTCCCCTGCCCACCTGCCTTCCTTCCTCCCCTGGCAGTACAATGAATTAAATCATCTTCTATTCATCTAAGCGAAACTACCGCTCGCCGTGGAGAAGTAAATAAGAGGGGGTGAAGACAAGATATAAACAAGAACAGCATTCAGAGCTCTAGGGAGCAAGAAATAGATCACACTGTTACCTGGGCTTGAGCTGTTTGAGGGTAGCCGGTCAGAGCCCTTTAGAGTTCGGAAATGCACACGGGGCCCTGGCGGGCTCTCTCCCCGAAGGCCAATGCTCCTGACCTGTACCGTGTAGTCGCTGTCTTCTGCCAGTCCCCAGAGGGCACAGGCCCGAGTAGTGGTGTTCACCTCCCGGATCACACGCTGCCCTGGACCATTCTGTCGCTGCAGGGAGAGGGTGATGGGAGAGGGTGACAGTCTTACCCCACATCCGAGGCTGTACGGCTTCACCCAGGACTCTTGACCATCCAAGCACTCCAAGGTGGTAAATGGAGAAAGGGCTGCTTGAGCAAGGGAAAACCAGTTCTTGGATTCTCCCACCTCTGAGGTTGCGGAGAGGGACAGTATAGGGGTAACAGAAGAACTGTTCACAGAGCCAAGGGCACAGGTTGGAGTGGCAGAGGTGAATCATACTTGCTGGGAAATGGAATAGCCAATGACGATATTGCCTTCCGGGACGTCCCAGGACACAGTGGCCGAGTTGGCTCTGAGGTGAGTGACCGTCACATTTACAGGAGATGGAGGCCGGTCTATGGGTGCCAATGTGTTAACAGGTTACTAGGCTTCACTCACTGGAGTTCTACTTGACCTCCACCATCGCATCCCTCTTTACTCACCTGCTCGCACAAAGCCCAGATCACAACTGACCAGCAGGAGGACCGTAGGGCTTAAATATGGGGAGAGGGGTATCAGTGAAGCCATGGTCCCCATTGAGTCCGTTGAGGGACACTGGGGCATCCGCTTGACATCCAGGCGGGGCACCTGAAGGTAGCAAGAGTTGGGGGTTTGGGGGCGATCAAGCATTGCCCAGAACGTATGGGTTTGGATCCAGCTCCCCAAAGCCCGCACAGTACTCCGAGAACCCCCAATACCTCCACGCCTTGCCCACCCTCTCCCCACCCAGGAGCCCCCCAGAGTGCTGCTGTGCCTAGCCCACACCCACCTCCGCCGGTCCCCGCGGTCCGTCAGGCCTCGGGAGCTTGCTGGGTTCCCAGAGGGCGGCCCATCGCCCAACTCGCTGGCGCTGCCCCTACCCCATGCCGGCGCGGGCCCGGCGAAGCTGCAGCGCGGTGAGAGGCGAGGCCACATGCAGAGGCAGAGCAGGTGCCGGGTCTGCAGAATCCCCGAGCTCGGACTGGTCGCGCAGTTGGTCCTGGAGCGTTGCTGCGCGGCCTGGCGCTGGCCTGGGTCCCCAGCGAGGCAGGTAGTGCTGCGGCTCCGCGGGCCCCTGCAGCGGGATGTGACCGTCCCAGCCAGCCAGCCGTTGCCTTCTGCAGCGCTGGCCCGGCTCGCTCCGCCGCAGCCCGGCCCGGACGTGCGGGCCCGCCCCGCTCCGCCGGGGTTCTCGCCGCCGTCATTCCCCCTCGCGGGCCCCCCCAAACCCTGTTCTCCCGGGGCTCCGCCCACGACCCTCCCAATGGCTGCCTCCTGCGCCCCCAGCCCTGGCTCCACCTGCCGGGTCGGCTGAGTCCGCTGGGGCGTGGGGAGACGCGCGGATGCCGGGGTCTCTGCCACCTGGGGAAGCCCCTCCATCGGCGGAATTAGCCAAGTTGGAAGGAGAAATTTCATCTCCAGTGCAGGAGGGGAAGGAGAGGGGGAAGCGAGTGGTCGAGATGATTGTAGCGTTCCTTTACTTGTAAGAGTGCGTCAGCTTTTAAAAGTCTCTTCCCCATTCATATTCGGATATTGATCCCGTTCACTCTTTAATTCACTCTTTCAATTATTCAGCAAATATTTGTTGAGTGTCTCCTCTGTGCTTAGCATTCTTTAAAGCTCTGTAGTGATTAAAAAGGCTGGATTTAGAAGGGAGGAGATCGAAGATCAAAGACCTATGGGTCTTGTTTCAGCTCTTGTCACTTAATGGGTGGCTTTGGAGAAATTGGCTAATCTGTGCCTCAGGTTTCCCACCTGTGAATCACAGCGTCTGAAACCTGTCTGGGCTGTTTTGAGGATTAAAATAGACAATATTGGAGAAAGAGTCCTCTAAATCTCACAACATGATTTGAATACTTGATTATTATTCATTTGCATCAATATGTTGGTTATTTCATTTATTCAGTAAACACTTCATGCCGTGCTTTGGCTGAGTATGGCTCTGAGGTGAAAGGATCTGGATGTGAGGTCCAGCCCTGCCAGCTGTGTGATCTTCCATAGCCAGCCCACTCTGTAAGCCTCAAAGTCATCATCTAAATATTGAAGGTATTGGTATCCACACCTTTGTGTTGATAGATACAATGAGATACCACTTATTAAAAACACTTGTTATCTAGGGTAAATAAATGTTTGTTAACGTATTCAGGGCAGATAGTTCAGCTTCTCATTCTCTTTGCAGTATTTCTATTTTGGTACAATCTCCGCCCCCTGACCCCCTCCGGGAAAATCCAGTTCAGCGCCTGCACTCCTGGGGTTCTGAAGCCTTTGTTGTCTTCCTTTCTGAGAACGAAATGGGGCAAATGGTACAGAGCCTGTGTGTGCGCTGACCACGTGAGCAAGCCATGGCCCAGGGCCTCTGATCTCTGCCCTGATCCCAACATGATTTTACCCACGGATTCTCATCCTAGGACAGGACCTGGGTGTGGTCGCCTGCACTTCCAGGCTCCAGCTCCCTCAGAGACGACAGCATTGTGCCTTGAAGGTTAAAAGTGATGAGTCTTCCTTTTCAGTGGTCAAACACAGTGACTGAGGAGTAAGAGTACACACAAAGGGGAGCTCAAGAACTTCCCTGGGGGAGGGGGTGTCCAGTGACCAGGAAAGGGTGCAGGGGGTGGTGCTCTTAAAGGGCAGGGTGCTTGAGTTAATCATCACCGTGGTCAGATAAGGTCCTGCCAGCTAGAAGCAGAGTCAGTGTGATCAGAAAGGTCTGTGTGTAGAACCGTCTAAAAGAGAGATGTAACTGGGTATTTCTGTCATCACAGGAGACTAGAGCGAGGGCTGCATGGTGGAGGGGACCTGGGGGAGTGTTTGTAAAACAATGAAAGAATCTTTTCTTTTACTTTTCCATAATTTTTGGACTCATGTACTTATAACTTGTTAGTCAAATTTGTGTCTTCTAGGTTGCAACACCCCCATGATACATCTTGAAGGATATGTACATGTACAGCCAAGCACAATCAATAAGAGTGCATCTGAATTCCAAAATCAGTCTACATAATAGTCTATGTGTTTCCTACTGCCAAAGGGGCCCTTTAGAGTAGTGAGAGAAGATCTTCACCCTGAAACCCACAGCGTCCCTTTTCAGCAGGAAGTAGCTAAGAGAATACGCCGTCCCCTTTTCCTTATGACTCAGGGTGAAGTCTCTCTCAGGGAGGAGTGATAGGGAATGGCAAAGGATACACTGACAAAGAAGATTAATCAGAACTGGCTTTGACAAGCACTGTGGCATTTGGACAAGAACAAACTGGGAGGAGGGTAGAGAGAATAGTGCAACAATGAATGAGTGGAAGCCCAAAATCTCTGTAAATGTTTATGAAAATTAATAAAATATAATTATAGAAAAAAAAAAAGAAAGGTCTGTGTGACAATAGTGTGAGGCAGGACAGTGTGGCCACAGTGTGGGACCATGCTGGGCACGAATCGGTTTCAACATGTGATTGAGACCCTGGAGCCTGGCAAATGGGAGGTGAGTCCTGAGACCCATCCTTGTTAGCCTTCTGAACTGAATCCCGGAATCCTTTTTGATCTGAAAATCTTCCCACCCCTGGGTTCCTGCCCTCTCCTCTTCTTTCTTAATTGTTCTTTTCTAGTAAGCCCACATAAATGCAGAGTAAGTCTTTCTGGTGTGTGTTTGTGTCTATGTGTGTGGTAGGAGTTCAAACACTATGCCACTTCCCCTTCCAGATCAGCAGGCATAAGTGAGGCATCAGCTTTCTGCTCCCATATTATTCCACCTTTTCCTCTAGTTGTCTGGGTATGAGGCAGCCCTGCCAATCACAGAGAAGTCAAATCCACTGACTCGACCTGGACAAAGCAAATGCCCAACAAATTGTTCGACTGCTGGGCCAATGTGATGCTGAGATCTTCCAAGAGGAAGGGCAAGCCATGCCTACCTACAAGGTAACCCAGAAGACTTTTCTTGCAAATAAAGATGTCAATCCCAACCACCTTAACCCCAACATCTGCCTTCTCAGACTATGATCACTGATTTTTTAAATGCTGAGAGCCACCCTCAAATCCACTGTCTTTCTCTCCTGACTTCTGATTCTTGTCTATCTCTTACAGAGACTCTACAGTGACTCAGTTCTGACCACAATGGTTCAGGTGGGAAAGTTCAAGAAGTACTGAAGGTACTAAGCTCCGTTGACTCCCTGCTAACATTGTTCTGTTTTCTTACACCTGTCTCTTTTCCCAGGTTATATTTCTCATTTTTCCAAATTTCAATTCCCCTTTCTCCCTTGTCAGTTTGCTGATTGATAATAATTGTAATAATAAAACCACTGTCTGTGTAAAGCTTTAAAGTTTGCAAATGCACTTTCAGTACCCGTGAGTCTCACAACAACCTATTAAAACCACCGCTTAGAATAGCTATGATAATTTGCTGGGTAATGCTGCTTTTCTTAGTTGACAATCTTTATTTAGTTGACAAAGCTGTTTTCAGTCCTTTCTGGAAAGTAAAGGTTTGAATAAATAGCTGCAAGTCAGTTTGTTGTTTCCTCTCAAACCGAATATGCTTTCTGTTATACCACTGTGCTTAGTGTTGACTTTTAGCTGTTCCCTTTGGGTGTCAAAGGAGGAATTGAAAATGTTCCTGATTCCTCTTCTGTTAAGGAGAAAGAAAGGAAGGTACTTCCTCCAACCTGAGCTGGGCCCTGAATGCTTTGACATTTTTCTTTCCTCAGGAGCCTGAGGGGGCTCTGGTGGTGCTGAGTGGAGGGGGCACCTCTGGGCGGATGGCATTCCTTATGTCGGTGAGTCCTCTGACCCCAGCTTCCATTTGTTCTTGACTCAGAGAGGCACTCAGGATCACAAAGCTCATCAGAGTAAAGATCCTAGGTGGACTCCTCACCAGACCTGGGTTCAAGGCTCGATGCTTTCTCTCTTCTAGAATTTAGTTCTCTCTCACTATGGGGTTCAGGCATTATTATTCACAATAACATCTTACAAAATGTGCTTGTATTCTAATGATAAAACTGACATATAGTTCTGTATAATGCTCTATACAAAACTCATTTTATTGGAAAAAGATGAAGCTATGTCTAAATTCTCCTCTGCATTCATTTTTAATGTATTTTTAAAATCATATTGCCTAGGATTAATTCATGCAGCAGGTGTTTTAAGAATATAGCTCGTCTGCATAAAGTGCTGGTTTAGAAATGAGAATTCTTTTTTAAATGATTAAAAAGGACATTTTATTTCCCTCCCAAATGAAGTAAACATGAAAATCTCAAAGAGTTTATTGTCTTCATAAAACAAGATGAAGCTAACTTAGAACTGGATCACTTGACCCTTTCGCTTTTTAATCTCCTCCCAGTTCAAAGTGCTGGCATCTTTTGACAACCAACATTCTTTTAGATCTGCAGTTTGGCTCAACTCATTCAAGTCTTAACACACAATCTTCTCTGTAGTTTTTGCCTTTTTCTGGAAAATTGGCTTGGTCTGGTCCCTATCATAACACTGCTTTCCCTGGGCATACAGAGAATCTTTGCCCTTCTTGTACTATGTCACTTTGTGGGGCTGGTGCTTGCCACACTTTAGAATCTTGTAGTGTATCTGTGTTTGGGGCAAACAATCTTGGTACAGCACTGGTCTGCCAGTTTGCTATAGTGAGGTAACTTGTGGTTGTGGTTACTGTGATGCAGAACACTGTACCACTGGTGTGTCAGATGCTATAATGGTTACCTATGGTGAACAGTGTTTGGTGGAGCTCCCAGATTAAGATAGACTTGGAAGCAGGAGTGGCATCCACTTCCTAAACAACATGCCTCTGGAAACATGCCTCTGTGAACTTAGAAAAATGACGAATATAGAACAGGCTTCAGGTCTTTTGTTCATTGGGTTGTTATGAGTCATGCTTGACTTGACAGCACTTAACAATAATAGTGTCCCCTCTCTTCTGAACTCATTTGAGTCAGATCAGTCTGTTGCCAGTGAAATAGCAGAAGGTCCTCAGTGAGATGGATTGACGCAAAGTGGTTCAGTGGTTGCAACAATTGTGTCCTGTTTGCCTTGGCTCCCAACCAGCCATTGTTCCTACTGCCTTACACTTGGCCCATTTCACATACAGAAGGAAGTATTGCCCAGTTCTGTGGCACCCTCACAATTAATGCCTTCTGTTGTATACACTGTCACTTATGTAAATTAAAAAAAACTCAACAAGAAGTCTGTGGTCAATTTCTACATTTCATTGGGGTTAATGATCTCAGAATTGAAGCTGTAAATGTCATATTCCAAGCAGTATTGAGTTAAGCAGCAACCTAAGAGAATGACATATAGTCTCTGAGACTAAGAGTTAAAAATCCAAGACAGTTTATTCTTTTGCTGTAATTACTTCTCCCCAAACAGGTCTCCTTTAACCAGCTGATTAAAGGTCTTGGACAGAAACCTCTTTACACCTACCTCTTTGCAGGAGGTGACAGGTAGGCGATGGCCTCTGTGATTATTTAATTGGCCTGAATGATTCTTTTAAAGAATCATTATTTGGATTTGAATGTCTTTGGACAGAAAAGATGTCCAGTTTGCCTTGGTCCCCACCTTCCATTCCTTCTGCCTCTTGCTTTCCCCACTTCACATACTTCTGTTGTCTGACTGGCCCTTGGAGGTATTTGAGTTTTGCTGTCCTACAGGGCAACTAGGAACTCTGGTAGCCTAATGGTAAGGTGCTGTGTTGCCAACCCAAAGCCACATGGTTCAAATCTGCTCCTTGGGAGAAAGATGGGTAATCTCCTCCTATGTGATTTACTGCTTCTGATAACCCACTGGAGGGCCAGCTACAAGTCAGTTCCGACTTGATGGTACATAACTGACAAACAGGGCAACCAGCACAGTGTCCAGTTAACAGGGGTGATCACTCTGTGATCATTTCCCCTTCATTCCCTTCTTGAAATGCAGCCTGTCCAGATAAACCGCAGGCTTCTTCCTGTCCAGCCTGTGCCACTACCTGACCTGAGTCTGTTCTCTTAGGTTTGTCGTGGCCTCTAGGGAGGGAACAGAAGACAGTGCCTTGCATGGGATTGAGGAGCTGAAAAAAGGTCTGTGCTTTCCGCTGAGCCTCAATCAGACTTCTCTCTGCTCGTCTCCAATAGTTCAGTGAAAGGGTACCCCCTTCCTACATGATAGATGTGCACCCTGGAATCCTACTGAGAGTCACTGCCTCACCCACCTTCCTCTCCTAGGTGGCTGCTGGAAAGAAGAGGGTGATCGTCATTGGGATTTCCGTAGGACTCTCTGTGAGTGTGAAGCCAGGTGCAATAACTTTACAGGTGGGAATGGGATAGCATGGAAGACAGATCTGATGGAGTGGGTACTAGAAAGCAGGAAGGGCCTGTACAAGGAGCTCTGGTGGCCTAGTGGCAAGAATCTGCACTGCAGCCTCAAAGGTGTGCAGTTCAAATCCACCTGCCTGCTCCATGGGAGAAGGATGGGCAGTCTCCTCTTGTGCAATTAATTGCCTCTGAAAACCTGCTGGAGGGTCAACTATGGATTGGTTCCAACTCTATGGTACACAACAACATTTTGGTTTTAATCTAGTTTAGTGGTAAATAGTTGCACTGCCAACACAAAGGCACATGGTTCTAATCCACCAGCTGCTCCATGGGAGAAAGACAAGCAATCTCCTCCCATGTGATTTACTGCCTCTGAAAAGCTGTTAGAGGATCAGCTATGAGTAGGTTCTGATGGCACATAACAATAACAAACTTGAACTCAGGAGCTCTGGTGATCTAGTGTCTTATATGTTACATTACAACCAAAAGGTCAGGTGTTCCAATCCACCACCTGCTCTGAAGGGGAAAGTTGGACGGTCTCCTCCTGTGAAGATTTACAGCCTCGGAAACCCAAAGGAGAGTCTCTGTGAGTCCATATCAACTCACAGCAGTGGGTTTGGTTTTTAACTTGGACCTAGTTGTATGAATGAGAGAAGGTAGAGGAATCTTTCATTGAATAACTGTATCAATCCATTCAACAATCAAGATAGAAATACCAGTTCACAGGTCAACAAACTACACCAGCAACCAATCTGATGAGTCATCTGTTTTTGAACTTGGCTAAAGTTTGATTGGAATACAGCCATGCCCATTTATTTACATATTACCCCTGGCCGCTTCCTCTACAATGGCAGGGCTGGGGAGTTGCAACAGAGACCACAGGATTCACAGAGTCAGAACTATTTACCCTCTGAGCTTTACCAAAGCAAATTGATCCCTTGCTACCTAAAAATGTCAGCAGTAGCAGCACTCTGAGACTCCTAGGAAATGCAGAATCTTGGACCCTACAGACTTGTTGTTATGTGCCGTTGAGTTGCTTGCAACTCATGGCGATGCTATGTACAACACCTCTGAACCCTGCTCTATCCTGAGCCAACCTTACTGTCTCTGACACACCTAATCCCATTTCTCCAGTCACTGAATCAGTCCATCTCATAGAGGGTCTTTTCCTCCTGCACTGTCCCTCCACCTTTCCAAGCATAATGTCCCTCTCCATGGACAGGACCCTCCTTGCAACATGTCCAAAGAATGTCAGATGAAGCTTCAGAATCTTTGCCTCCAAGGAGGAGCATGGTTTCACCCTCTCTAGGATGAACCAGACTTATTGAGTAAAAAAATCTACAAAACCAGTTGTTGTTGTGTACCATCTAACATAACCAACCCATGGTTGACCCTCCAGTGGGTTTTCAGAGGCAACAAATCGCACAGGAGGTGACTGTACATTCTTTTCCCATGGAGCAGCCAGTGGACTTTAAATTCATGCCTATGGGGATTGCAGCCCAGCTTCTTAAGCAGAGCCTTATGTAGTTTGTTTGAGAAGCACTGGCCTCAGTGGCTCCACGTTTCCTCTCAGCTCTGCAGCTGAGTGTAAGAACTTATGAATCAGAAACTAGATCGCAGCAGTGCTGGGTATTGAAGAAGGTACAGAAGGAGAATGGGCCATCTCAAACAGAACGGGCACACAAGGAGCTTACACCTTAGTTAAATAGTTTTTCAACCATATGTGCATACAGCTTCCTTTGAAAGATTGTTAAAAATGACGGGACAAGGTAAGACCTGCCCCTTCAAATTCTGGTTCAGTGGATTTTAACTGGGCCCAGGAATCTGCATTTATAACACACATTCTGGAAATTCTGAGGCACTTGATCTCTGGGCATCACTTTCCCTCCCTCCACCAGGCTCCCTTTGTGGCAGGCCAAATGGACTACTGCATGGATAACCCAGCTGTCTTCTTGCCAGTCCTGGTTGGTTTCAACCCTGTCAGCATGGCCAGGTGAGCCTGCTGCCATGAAAGATGGTGGTTCGTCCAAACTCTGGGGGAAGCTTGGAGCAGTGCAGTCAAAGTCTATATAATCACAGAGGAGAGAGCACAAGGGGTAGGGTCTTGTTCGTCAAATTGCAGAATAGCAAAGTAAACATGGGGTGCCTCTAGCTTATGAGGTTTTCCTGATTCATTCTTCCGTTTCTTAATCCTCTTCTTTGTCTCAGAAAAGGCTGAGGGCCGCTTACAAAGGATGCATAAAATGTAAAACAATATACATTCAAAACAGGGTGTGAATAGGCAAATGGATTACTGCATGGATAATTCAGTAAAGAAAATTTTAAAAAGGAAAGATGGGCAAGAGAGTCAAGAAAACATACCACAAAGATCTGTTCTTTCATTTGGTGTGTGCAAGCAGCCTCTTTTCAAGGGAGGAGTTGTGGGTCCTGAGCAGTCCTATACTCCTCTTTGTCCAGCTGCCTTATTTCAGTGCCCATTCTGCCTCATCCTTCTAAGTAGCCCTAAGACCCCTCTGATCCTCTATCTGGTTCACTTTTCTCAAACTCTCGTCCTAAATGGCCATTTTGCCTGGTCAAAATGGTTCAATACATTAGCCAAGAGGTGCTTCTATGTGGTTGTGTGGATGAGCTGCCTGGGGAGTGTTAAAAGAAATAAGGAAGAAAGCAGAGTGCCAAGTACACATCTAAGAGGTCTGGCTTCATAGGTATGAGGTGAGGCCCTAGGGTATCAGGGTGGTTTGTTTTGTTTTTAAAAAGCATCCCTGTAAATAATAATAATTTAAAAAAAAGCATCCCTGATTTTGACACATAGCCAGATTGGGGCCACCAGATGAAGCTTAGGGTTTCTTGGCATCAGAGGTATTTCAGCAAAGGTTTACTGATTATTCATGAAGAGCTTTGTGTATCTAAATCCTGGGGTGGTCTTGGGGGATGAAGGGCAAGCTGGGTTCTCGTGGAGTTACTAATTTTGAACCCCTAGCTTCTAGACTTGTGGGATAATTCATACAAAAGTGCGAATGAGTCCAAGATACTTTGACCCCTGATCCTTTTAACGGAGGACTCTCTATCACCAGAATGGATCTGCTGCAGCGGATGCTAATTTCAGGCACCGTGACTAAGTGAAATGAAGAATTTCAAACAATGTAGGCGTGGAGATCTTCCAGTTGTTCTTAAATCAGTGGCTCCCAAACTTGGCTGATCTTCCCCGTCGTCTGGGAGGCTTTTTAAAAACACAGATTGTTGGCATCCTCTCCAGAACTACTGAATTTGAATCTCAGGATGGGGGTGGTACCCAGAAATGTGTAATTAATAAAAACAAAGCTCCCCAGGTGCATCTGATTACTTAGCCAAATTTAAGAATCTCTGTTTTAACCCACACAATGTGGACACTGTCTCCTCTCCTGGTTTATGAGGGACTTCAGTCTCTAGGAAGTTTCATAAGTAGTTTGAGGACAAATTATAAGAAACACCTTACATAATGCGTATGAAATAGTTGAAACTTGTTTGCCCTAGATGTTACGTAGTTGAAAAAGATTTTAAAAAACCAATAGAATTTTGCAGCGATGGCCTGATAAGGGAAGTTAGAGATGCCATGTACAGATAGTACCACAATAGGTGATTCACAAATCATTCGCAAGTAAAGTTATTAGAGATCATCGATAGAAGATCCTCTTTCTTTTTCTTTTAAAACTTGTTATTGTGATCTGAGTGAAAAATTTCCAGAATAGTTTTCCATTCAACCATTCATATGCATTTTGTTTTATGAAACTGATTCCAGCATTACTCTTCCTGTTTCCTCTCTGTGATTCTTGTTTCCATACATCCTTCTAGCTACTTCTTTTCTGTCTTTTGAGCTTTATCCCTGGACAATGCTGTCTTCTCAATCTTCTACATATGGTTGAGCTAAGATATTGCTCACCTTATAAGCCTGTCTAGTATTGTATGAAAGTTGAGCTACAGGAGTGAGTTCAGTTCCAGGCTCACAGGGTAACTAGGGAGATTAGCATTGCGGATACCAACAGACCATTAATCTTGGCCATTTCTATGAGAAAATCCTTTCTGTAAGAGTCCATGGTCTGTGCCTCCTTCACTTACCCAAAACTGCTCCTGTAACAGAAATACCACAAATGGGAGGCTTTAAAGAGTTCTTTTTCTCATAGTTGTGAAGGCTAAAAGTCGAAACCAGGGCTTCAGTTGTGTTTATTCCTTCTGTGACTATCATTTTGTAGCCATCTTTGATGTTCCCTTTCCCATGTGACAGGTCCTCACGTGGTATCTGTTCTCTTCCTTTGTATATCCCTGTACCTTTTCTGCTTTTAAAAATAACCCAGAAGCAATTTGGTTTAGGACCCACACTCCTCTGGCATGGCTCATTAACATAATAAAGAAATCATCACATCCATAGGTGCAGGAGCCAGGACTTCAGTTTATATTTTGGGGACACAATTCAATCCATGACAGAACCTAAGTAGATAACAAGCTGGCAGCTTTCCTGTCTCATTAATACATTATTTTGTCCTGATTAATTCACTCAAAGAATGTTTGTCTGCTGTTAGGTGCTTGAGGGAATCATTCTGCTTGGTTTCCTCACTAAAAACTGTTAGCCCTTCTTCAGTTTCATGTTTCGGGGAATTTTCAGAATTTATTTCATGAATGGGAAAGGCTTTTGATAGACCTTAAGACCAAAAAAATTGACAGTTTTGACATTCGGAAGACAGACATTCCTCCAGGGATCTACCAAGGGTGTGGCGAGTGCAGCCTTGGCAGTGACACATTCAAAGGACATGAAAGGTGCTAGTCTTGGGCTGGATTTTAAAATTGAGCACTTGGTTATGTTCTGGACTTAATTTGGTGGCTATTTTATTAAAGGTGCCTCTGTGAGCTCTGTGACGTTATTGACCTCAATGCCCCAGCCCAATCTGGTCTTTGATCCAGACGTGCATGTGAAGTTCTCCCTTTAATGCTCCAGACAGTCCTCTCACCTTTGTCTGTCTTTGGACCCCAGAAACGATCCCATTGAAGATTGGAGTTCAACGTTCCGCCAAGTAGCAGAAAGGATGCAGAAACTTGAGGAGAAACAGGAAGGGTTCGTTCTCAATCCTGCCATTGGGGTAGGGTCTCGGTATGATATATTACTCTGGAGATGAAAAGGTGAGGAAAAATGGAGTTGCTTTCATAGTTAAAAACGTCATTGCTAGATCCATCTTGAAGTACAATATTGTCAGTGACAGGATAATATCTATATGCATACAAGGAAGTCCAGTGAATACCACTATCATTCAAATATATGCACCAACA